CATGGCTGGCTGGGGAATTCTGGGAGTTGAAGTCCACACATCTTAAAGTTGCTGAGGCTGACAAACACTGCCTTAGACAGAGCACAGGGCACCAGAGTTCAAGTAGCAGAACAAATTCCTAACCCAAAATTAATTAATTTTGACAAAAGTAAAGCGTCCACCTTTCCTGTACTTCATCACACTTGCCATCTTTTCTTTTTTATGTTTTATTGCAATTTCTTTGATTGTTTGAATCTCCCAGAGTCCGTGAGAGTTGGGCAGCATACAAGTTTAATAAATAAATAAATAAATAAATAAATATTATTATTATTATTATTATTATTATTATATGAGGAAACTGAAGGCATGAGAATGCCAATGGTTCATCTCACTTCTTAAGCCACTTTGCCCTCCCGCGCCACGAATGAGTCCACCCCTCACAAGCTGCTGCTCTCCGCAGGTTGGACTACAATGCCCATCACGCTCAGCCGCCCTGAAAATCTCCTGTAGCCTCAGCAACGGGAGGTAGGGCTGTCCTTCTTTTTCTCTTTTCTCTTTAGACCAGCTAACGCTTCTTCCTCGCCATCCCCCCTTCACTCTCACCCACACACGCACGTGTGAATACCGATACGGGGGATCTGGACGCCTTGATTAATTTAGCTCCGCGCACTTCTTAAAATCAAAAGCAACAGGGAGGGAAAAAGAGACGAGGGGAAAAGAGAAGGTGGGTCGTGTTAGGGGGGAAATCGCCTACCTTTCCCCAACCGCTCACAGCCGCTTCCGGGTCTGAGTTTCGGCGCAACCCGTTCCTGGTGCTCAGAGGCGATCGCTCGCCGCCGCCGCCGCCGCCGCCGCCGCTTTCCTCGCCCCGTTTGCGAGCAGGCGGAATTGAAGCAACTCGCAAACAACTGACAAGCATTGTGGGATATCACCTGTTGGGCCCATTTTCACGCCAAGGCCAGCAGAGGGCAGGGCTCCGCCAGTTTCTTTTCCCTCGAAGCGGTCAGACGCCGCGAAGCTTCACGCAGACCTTATTTGCAATCGGTGACTGTACTGGGCGGGCGCTCCCGACGTCAGAAAGAGGATGACCACTCCCCAAAGCAAAGGGAAAAAGGTTCAGTGGGAGACATATACAGGTGCGTGAGATGAACTCAGTTCTGACCTGAAAGCTATCTCCTTGCTGTCTTTTTCTAAAGAGATTGATTGATTGATTGATTGATTGATTGATTATGTGCCATCAAACCATTGACAATTCTTACACAGATAGATTTTGTCCATGATGATCTGTCCCTAACCTGTTCTTTCAAGTCTCCCATGGTGCACCCATCTCCACTGTAACTGAGTCCATCCACTTTGCTGCTGGGGGTCCTCTTCTCTTTCCTTCTGCCTTTCCCAATTTTAGAGCCTTCTCCAGAGAGCCAGGATAATTTGAGCCTGGTCATGTGTGCTTCGAGCGAGAACTCTGGGTTGATTAGTTCAATGATCTATCAATTTGTCTTTTTGGCTGTCCACGGTATTCTCAGGAGTCTTCTCCAACACCAAAGTTCAAAGGCGTCATTACTCTTCCTATCCTGCTAAAGATATTTCAGCTATTTTCTTCCTCCCCACTAAATTTTTGCCCTGGGCTTTATAAAGGTTGCAAAAGTGGGATCTCACACCTGTGTGGTTCTGCTATAATGTTACACAGAACCTCTCCCTCAGGTTGAATTTGTGTTGGGATCTAATCTTGCCCCAAAGGTCATGATGATCATTTTAAAAAGCAAAGTTCCTCAGATGATAGGCCAAGTATCCTTTCTTCACCACTGAGCGATCATTGCCAATTCCCACGCTTTAAACATTAAAGAGAAAGGTTTAAAAGACAGAAATGTCGATCTGAGGCTGTTTTAAGCCTTGGGTCCACCTTCTTACAAAGAAATTCATAATTTCTTTTTGTATGACGCACAGAAAAAATAGGCAGAGCTTTGATTGCACCACTGTGGCTGGCATCTTGACTTTTTTTAACTACATTTTGTGGACACCCTTGAATCACCACCTGCCAGGAGTTTCCTGAAAGTCAAATCTTAGAGTAGGTGGAGGAAATCACCTTCCTTGGGAAATTTTCCCAGCTGAATCTCTTCCTTCTTGCTTCATACAAGGGGTTTATTCTTTTTACATAATGGTTTGATGCCAAGAAAGGAAGTATGATCAGGCGGAAATGGGGATAACTCAAATGAACTAGGAACATAAGAAGGGCCTGAGGAAAGATCAGGATAACCACTTTACAGTATATAGTCCAAGAATTGGTGTCACATGGTGGCCAACTGGATGCATTTAGGAAGTTCACCAAGATGGGTGTGAGAACATCTACCCTCTTCCCTTGTAGTTCTCAAGCCCTTGGAATTTCAGGTACCTGGTGGCTGTGATTTCAGAGACAGTGAAAAACTCAAAGGGACTCTTAACGCTATGCTTCTAGACCAGCAGGAGAAATGTGGCCATCCTCTCATTTTGTCTTCATTAACCAGTATCACCTTCCCTATCGTATGCCTGCCATGATGCATTGAATTGCAGCTCCCATAATCCCCTAGCTGCATGGCTGTGGGATTATGACAATGGCCCGTCCTTCTGGAGGGCAACAGGTTGGGGAAGACAAGTCTAGAACCTCCTTTTTCTACCTCCTTCCCTGTAACCTTTTGATCTGGATTAGCCCTCCCCATTTCTGTACTGTTGGCTGGGGGTGTTGCCTAGTGGAAAAAGAAAGATGGAACTGCTTTATTTTAAAGATACAACTGGGGGTGCGTAAGAGTGCCTCATCCGAGTGCTTGCCCCAAAAGGAATGAGTCTCAACCGCTTCTGTTTTCTCTGAAAAAAACCCAATTTATTTGAATATTAGGATGAGAAGATATGGAGATTGGTATTCAGGACCATTACACTGACTTTGCATGTTCCATGTGCATATGGCCCATTTTCCATATTTCTCATGTCTTGGTTGAGAAGAGATTCCCCGGAGGTATGTGTTAAGAGAGCTATTGGGAAGGTCCAACACCACTGTAAACGAATTGTTTACAGCATCCAAGTAGAGCCCAGAAATTCAATGGCTAAAGTAAGGAAATACATGCATACAAGCCAAAAAAAAAAAAAAATCAGAAGTCTGGTAGCACCTTTTCCAGCTAACATATTTTATTAAAAGGCATCAGCTTTTGTGAACTGCAGCTCCCTTTAGGGAGATGTAAGAGGCGGCTAGACTGATGTCTACAAATCCTGCATCAGTCTCGCCCAATGTTTCTCAACCTT